CATTCCTGCGTGGGTGGTTTTCAGGGGTGCTGAGCACCAGGTTAAGCCCCGACTTTGGCTCTCTAATGCCAGACCTTTCAGCTGGTGCTCCTTGGGAGGGAAACAAATAGCCGCTGCAGGAAGGTTCATTTGCTTTGCCGGTGGCTGGGGGCTTTGTTTAAATTGTTTTGAGGCCACCCTGAAAGTCAAACGGAATCGTTATGAACAATTGCTGGCTAGCTGGAGCATTTACCTTGTGGGTACGCATCACTTCTGTAGCATTGCTCCTCACACATCTTTCCTGCCCTCATCCCGGGATGGTGGTAAAGACGCCTCCTGTGAGGAAGATCAGACTTGCAGCTCTTGGGAAGAATAGGCTGGAGGTGTGTCCGCATCAGTGTTTTAATTTGGGTCGGTATTGCAGTTCTGAAGCAAGATCTCCCACTCCTCCCCAGCAGCGTGGCTTTGCTCAGAGCCAGGTACCAGCCTGAACGCACATGCTGGATTTCTTTTGGGTGAAAAACAGGTGGGAGAGCTTTCAGGAGCAGGTGTGCTGTGCCACAGTTGCTGATGGGCGTTGAGCCCAGGGGCCAGCCCAGAGCCAGTCCCAAGTGAGCAGACCTCCTCACCCCAGTCACTGCAAACAGCCAGAAAGCCTGAAATGCATATGGTGTGTCTGTCTGGGCTTCAGCACCAGCTGTGCTCTCTGTGGTACAGTCCCGTTGACGCGACGGAGCCAAGATGCCCATGACGGGTAAGGAGTCCCCAATACCCAGGATTGTGTGCTGCTGAACGCTTCGCTGACGGTGCCGCAAACCACATTTCTTCGTGCATCTTCCGTAACAGCGGGTACCCTTACAGAAGTATTTTGTAAGCTAACACCTTCACATTAAAACGTGCAAAAGGAATTCCTCATCCTTGCATTTGCAACGTCTGTTGTTGAAAGCGCTTGTGCAGCGCTCATGCCTGTATATATGACTTGTTTTTGCAGCTGGTATGGTCTGTGACACCGAGAGTGCCAGCATATGATGATCAGTCAACAAGTTGTCTGCAAGGACATGGCATGGAGTCATGCCCTTAAGCTTCATGATCATCTTTTAAAGTTTGATCATATATTTATACATGTGCTATTTGCTTCTCCTGGTTTATCCCCATTTTTAGAGGGAGATAAGGATATCTGCAGCAGCTGAAATCCTGACAAACTGCTGTGGAGCATGTGTGTGGGAGCATGTGTGTGATGCCAGGTGTTGGGTTTTTAATTATTTTCGTGTTTTTCCTTAAAACACCAAACATGTGCATTCAAAGTGTCATGCAGAGCACCAAGTTCCTTCCAATTGCTTCCAAGTGCCGCCCCCCCAAAATCGTAGCCCTCCACCTGGGAAACAGTTCTTCAGGCAGGAGATGGTGGCTGCGTTCTCTCGTCAGGCTGATAGTCCGTTGCAGAGGTAGGAGCTGTGTCTGCTGCTGTCACCCACAGGGGACCACAGATGGCCAAGGCTGGAAACATGGAAACACGGTTCCCACTGTACCCGTCACCTGGCACAGAAGGCCCTTTTCTTTTGATTGCAGCCCATTGCCCTGTTAGGGATCTTTTTTTTTTTTTTTTCAGGCAGAGCAAACTAAGTTCAAAAGTGTCCTGGCATGGAAAACTGGAATTGTGGCCAGAAGGATCTGTTCCACCAGGGCCCAGGACATCTCAGAAGGAAGCTTACATCTGGCTTCATTGTGTGTGCAAGCTTTATGGGCCGTTTGTAGTTATCTGCACCCCAGCGTCGGTTCCCAAGTCAGGCTTCCAGGAAGTGAAAATTAGCCAGCTAGGAGCCAGTTGTAAAACTGTGCTTAAGCCATTGGACCAGCCTCACAAAACAAATTTTTGCAACCTTAATTCTGAGGGTTTTTTAAACTCTTGCTGTCACAGCTTCAGTTTTTCCCTTTGGAGCGTGTATAATTTTAAGACATACCAAATGGATCAGAAAATCATTCCCATGATGCTGAAACATTGTCCTTCACTGCCTTATTCATAGTGATTCTTAGATGCTAAAAATACTTCACAATAAAAACTTACTGCTTTCAAAATATTAACATGATCCAGGCCTTCAGAATGAGAGCCTTCAGAAACTTAAGGCAGCATTTACTTTCTCATTCACAGTCTTTGCTTATGGAGTCATCGTATCTGAATGACCAATGATGTATTTAATACACAATTGATCACAAGTAATTAATGTATCTTGAAGGTAACTTTCTGGATATACTGCATGTTTACTGGTTGCACATACCAGAATTCTAATATGAGGCAAATGTCAGATGGCACATTTACTCCAGATACAACAAAAGATTTGTTGAAATTGAGCCTCAGACTCCTTTCACCTAAAATGTGAAGGTGTTTCACCACCACAACTTGAAAGATTCAAATTTGAGCAGGATGACCAATATGGTTTTGTTGAAAGGTGAGATACAGATTGGCAAGTCAGCTGGAGGGGTCAGAGAGATGTTGCAGTAACCCTGTCCCAACACGTGTATTTTTGGATATGATATGATTCTTCAGGCTTTTTGAAGAGAAAAAGAGAGCAAGCATCTAGCTGAGGAGAACAGTAAAAGAAAAATGATTAAAGCTTGAGATCTTTACCAGTCTTTTAACTGATGCTTGATAGACCTGGGGGAATATCAATAGGCAAGAGAGGGTGCCAAGGGCAAATATAGGTCACCAAATGGATTGTGGAGCTTCAGAAGTGCAGAACAAGAGTCCATCCTTCTCTAGAGATGTTTTATTCCTGTGAATCAGCAGTTTCATCTGAAATATTTTTGGGAATAAAAAGCTTTGCAATGTGATTTTTAATAAGAAGGAAGAATAGTGTCATGGTTCTCACGCCTGTTATTGCTGCTGACACTGTATGCTCTGAGTGCTGCCAGAGCAACACGCAAGGTATCCGCTCCAGCAGGTGTCACGCATAGCCATGCCAGAGGTGAACTGGAACTGTTTACTTGGACACCTGAATTTTTCCAGTCCCAGTGGCTCCTAGAGCGTTTCAAACACGTCAGGTGTGACTCCAGTGGGAGGTTGGGTTTGATGCCTCAGAATATTTAACCTCACGTAGGGAAATGTAGCACTTAGTAATTAAAAAAAAAAAAAATCAGTAGGAAATAAATGGGTAAAGGTTGAAAAATTTCTCTTGCATAATTGCTTCCTTAGCACTGTCATGGACGTGGGAAGCATTTACATGAACTGTGCCGAGTTCCTTCTGCAGAAAGGTCATGTCTTGCCGCCAGAGTAGCAATACACCCATTCTGTACCCATTTCTGCTGAGTGAGCTGCAGTGTGTGCTCTTACGGCCCACGCCGGGGCAGGACCTAGGGCACTTCTCACAAACTGCAAAATTTTGTGTTTAATACATGATTACACTGATGTTTATAATGCCACACGTCTAGAGTGTTCCTTCTCACGCTGTGTATGTTAATGCTCCTTCCTCCATTAACCATGCTGAATTTTCTTTTCACCTGTCAGTGGGGAGAACTCGGCTGTTCTACACTACGGCCACGCTGGAGCCCCAAATGATAAGACTGTTGAAGATGGAGACTTGTGGTGAGTAAAGGATTAGAGTCTATTTGTTACTTTTGTTATGCTGTTGCTGTTTCCTACATGCATTGTATGTACTCTTGGACTTAATTAGTGAAACGATGTCTGCATAATGATGAAAGCCCAAATCTTTAAAATAGAATATAATGTTGCATGCCAGACTACTCGGGTTCTTTCCAAAGCTCCTGTATACCTGCATCTCCAGTTGAAAGGGAGAAGAGAGATTGTTTTCAAACACTTCTGTGCCAAAGGCACTTAGAACTTAGTTTAAGAAATACCTTATTCTAAGTACAAGGGCAGTTACAAAGTTGGCGTCTGAGTTTGCTCTTGAGCCTCAACTCTGATGATGGGGTGGAGAGTCAAGAGTGTTGGTTGCTTCTACAGAATTGCATCAAACTGCAGTAGGGATTAGATCTTCCAAATGCTGAGGGGCACCCAGACGCCCCGGCCTGAACATTAGACTTCTGAATGTGTGAGATGATCGAAGGGCACCCAGACGCCCCGGCCTGAACGTTAGAGTTCTGAATGTGTGAGACGATCGAACTCATCTCAGTTCAGGGTAGGGCAGGCTCCTTCTAGTTCTCTGTTGTGCCAAAAATTTCTAAAAAGATTTAGCTTAGAGGTCAGCATTGCCATAATACGACTGCAAATACCATGTATTTTTCTCTACTTGCATTACATATCCACGTGCTTTGCAGCATGACTGCAGATAAAAGCAGGGTGAATGAAGGCACCAAATACCTGGCTAGGAATCGGAAGACAAACCTCACTGTGTGGTGTGTAACCTAGCAGAACATCGCGTTTGTACTTCACCTCCTAAGGCTTCGGTCAAAAAGCCTGTGTTTATAAAAGTGCAGAATTACTTTTGGAAGACTTAATCACCGACGTTCAGAAGAGATTATTGGATTGCTTTTGTAGCACGTAGCAAAAATCGCGCAGGTACGTATTTTCACAGCTGAATGTAAAGTTGTGGAGGAAAGCAAATTAGTATCGTCATGGATAACCTCAAAAGCTATTATGGAGAACAAATCGAGCCTCAGAAGTGAAAAAAGTACGCCTTGTTGGCTAATGTTCTGGACACATACTGAACTACAGAGAGGGAATTTCTTTTTAATGGTGTAAGAACTTTTTTAAAAGCTTCTTGTTCAATAGTTTATCTGTTATCTTCATCTGTGGTGTATAGCTTATTAAATCCAGCACACAATAACGTTAATTTATTGTGGGACAATAGCTTTGACTTACAGTCACACTGTGTATGAGCAGATACTGTGCTGTGAGGTTTTTTCATCAGGCAGGACACACCATTATGATACTGTATTGGCTGTGACAATCGATTACATTTTCAAGAAAGCGTGTATCCTACAGGACGTCTCAGTGTATGTTGCTGAGAGAAGATATGCCACAATGCATTATGGTGTCCTGTATTTAAAATTACGGCCTTTAAATGGTGAGAGGAATAGTGTTACTGGGAGACCTCAGGGCAAAGAATATATAGGACCCTTCTACTTCCAGCCTCTGAGGACAGTTTAGTGGATGGCTGAAGTCCTCCCTAGATCCCAACAACATGTATCAAGACTCTTCGCAAACTCAGAATTCCTGTTGTATTGGCAGAATGTTTTGAAAAATGTTTGCATTTTGTTAGCCTTGGATGCCTGAATGTCTGAAAAGCGTAAGCTACCAAGCACACTGATTACTTCAGCACTTCAAAACTACCATTCTGCAACCCCACTTTGTAACCATCTCAACAAAGGGAACAAGGTTTAACCCAGTTTGAAATATCCTCTTGCTGAAAGGGTCCAGTTGCATCTTTGTCTTGATGAGCTGAAGTTTGTCAGGTGTAGATTGGCTTTAGCAAGTACGTGCTCCGTGTGCACGAGCACCCGCCGGGGCTTCGGTCTCTGCCCTGGCCTCTCCCACTGCCTGATGCTCACGGAGCAGCCAAACTTTGCTCCACATGATTTTCTTTGCATTTTGCTCACGTGGCAGTAGAGAAATTATAACAAAATGTAATTTCATTTTGTGTAAAGATAGTTTTAAAATACACTCATTTTCCACAGTTGAAAATAGTGTTTTGGAAAAGCTCTTGAGCTGGCGTACTTCAGCAGCATACGGATTATGACCAGGCCCTACCTGGGTGATTTTACAAATCTCTAAATTGGGTATAGGTGCGTGCGTGTGCGCATACAGAACAGGCTGTTAAAGTGACGGTATGCTGATGTGTATGTTAGAGTTGGGTATTTGGCTCTCAATTAAGCTTGTTAATAGCTACTGGGAGCCCTCTGTTGGATAATCTTAGGAAGCTCTGAACATAGGGAAAAACGGCTTTGCTTTGGGTCATAAAATACAGTGTTTTAAGGGTTATTTCTGCTTCTGACAGCATTTTGGTATAAATCTAATTTAGCAATTCCTATAATTCTATGAAATAGAATCGGAAGAATGGATACTTGGTATGATTTTTATTAAATTATTCTGTAGAATTTCATGTCTTTTTCGTAACATTATTTAGCAGATATGACTAACCTTCAAGAATTTTGCAGAAGTGTGCTGCTCAGGTTTTTTATGTACAAAGCAGTGTGGTAAGTGTTAGTAAATAAGTCAACAAAGCACCTGAATGTTAGAAAAATACATTTGGAAGACTAATGCTTTGCTTTTTTGAAGCACTCGAGTGCATGTTTGTTTGCTCTTTTAAGAAAACCATTTACAAGGATTAGGTGGTGTCAACAGGATATCATAAGCAAAAATACTTGTGCTATTGCATTTTTAATTTTTTTTAAGATTGTTATTCTGAATTTTTTAAAAACTGTGGCAGGTTTAGAACAGCCTGGTTTTATGATGTTCATTCTTGAAAATTAATCTGCATCAAATGGGTTTATTGCTTCTGTAAGAAACTGGTAGGGAATTACATCTCTGATATTGCATCGTAATCCACACTTTATAGGTACAGTTTCTGTGCCAAAGATCTCAGTGCAAGGCAAGCACTGTAAAGAGAATCATAGAATCGTTTGGGTTGGAAGGGACCATCCAGTTCCAGCCCCCCTGCCATGGGCAGGGACACCTTCCACTAGACCAGGTTGCTCCAAGCCTCATCCAGCCTGGCCTTGGACACTTCCAGGGATGGGGCATCCACAACATCTCTGGGCAACCTGTCCCAGTGCCTCCCCACCCTCTCTGAGAAGAACTTCTTCCTGATATCCAATCTAAACCTCCCCACTTTCAATTTAAACCCGTTCCCCCTTGTCCTGTCACTACAGGCCCTTGGAAAAAGTCCCCCCCAGCTTCCTTGTAGCCCCTTCAGGCACTGGAAGGGGCTGTAAGGTCTCCCCAGAGCCTTCTCTTCTCCAGGCTGAACAAGCCCAATTCTCTCAGCCAGATTTCTGCCACTCCTTGTTAATATGGACTGCATTGCTAAGCAGGGCTGTTGTTTTCAGTCTATTAAGTATTAAAAACAAAATAGCTAACACAAAGCATTATGATTGACATAGAAATAAATCGGTATTTTTAGAGAACTTTAGGTATTCAGTAGATATGTGAACTTAACTCATACTGATATTAAAAGTAAATATTGCAATAACAGCAAGTCAGTGTTTCATATAAATAATTCATGTACTGTAACTCTGTGTGGTGAACATTTAAATATATGATCGATACGGTCTAACCCAAAAAAGTGTCTGTTGTCTCCGTGGTCAAAAATGTCATGCAGATAAATGGGCAGGCTGACCACGCTGGTGAATCGCAGTTCTAGGCATTCTACCCTTTCGCTTGGCATCACCTTTAAATAAATTCTTCTACCCAGAATGTTACAAATCACGGCTTGCAGTGGTGATGTACGGCCCAGGCTAATGTACAAATGCTGATTTTTTTTCTCCTGTCATCATAAACCTGTGACAGCATGGATAGAAACTGAGCCCAAGACTGAGGTTATCCCATTATCCCAAGGTATTGCACTATCCATTGTGTGCCAAGATGCCTGCTGCTTCTGTAGGGAGGCTGTAACTACGTTTTGTAATGTGGAAAGTGGCATCATAAGCAAAAGTGCTTGTTGTGGTTTGCAGTCTCCTGCCCTGTACACAAGAGGCCTCCATCAAAGCCAGAAAGTAACCAAACGTTTTCCAGGGGTTTCGGAGCCAGGGGTTTCCCAGCCCCCGCAATCCACCTGGGGTAACCAAAGGTCTTTGAAAGCTTGGTGGGGAGTAGAATGAAAATTAGAAGTTGCTACTCAAGAAGGAAAAATCCCCAAACAAATTCAAGGAGCAGCTATCTGACTCCCAGCTATGCAAAAATTAAGAGTAAATGAGCTCCTGGGGCTCCTGTCCATCCAGTGGCATCCCCTTCATGGCTCATTCTTCCCAGGCATATGTCTCATGATCTCTCTTTTTGCAGCTATTTTGCTTTTGTTTGCGCTGGGGAAAAAGATTGGTTCAGTGGTTAGAACCCTCTTGTGAGACGGCTGAAACCTCGGGTTTCAGCCCTCCTGAAACCTATCTCTTGACTTTAGCTGGAAGTTAATGACCTGACCCTGGAATACAGCATCCCTGAAAGTTCAAAGCCAGCGTGTTGCTGCAAAAAGCATTGCTCTCAATAAATCAGCATCTGCCTTCTGAGAATGGAAAGCATCTGCTTTCTTAAAAGTGAAGGAAGCAAAACCCCTTGGGTCCTCCCTTTTTCCCCTGCCCTGCCCGTGCAGCAGCGCGGAGCCACACAGTGGCTGTTGGGGAAGGAGAATCCTGGCCATCCAACTAGATGGGCTGCAGCAGAGGGAGCCTGGGGCAAAGCAAACGCCTCTTCTCACCTTTCTGGTTCGGTGGTTTGGTGTAGGAGCCATCGGAGGTGCTGAACTCAAAGTGTATTTTGATTTTGAGAAGGTATTCAGGAAAATGATAGTTTATCGCATGCAATTTGCTGCCTAGCGGTTCGTGCAGCCTGTGGATTCTTGGCATTGCCGCGTGCTGAAGGCACGTCGGGAGCTGATTGTTTTATTGCGATTGATCAGCAGGGCTCCTGCAACG